GGCTGGCGGTTCAAACCCACCAGCCACTCCTCGGAAGGAAGGTTGGGCAATCCTAATTCCGTAGTGATCCTGCCTCGGAAACCCAAGGAGGGGTCGCTATGAGTCGGGGCTGACTCGAGGGCACGTAACAACAACAACAACAACCTTCCCAGGAGTGAAATGCCTTCAGCACTACACCACCAGAGCTCCTACATGATCTTAATTCCCTTACACTGCTTTAGTCTTTAAAAATTATAATCACTTTTCCTCAGAAAATGAATTTTTTAATTCTTTTATTCTCATGAATAAAAGGAAGAAAAACAAACGTGAATACAGGAAGATATCCAAAGGAACATATAAAGGCAAAAAAAAAATGATTGCTAGTGTTTAATGCAAGGAGCTTTTTGGTGTCGTAATGCATAAGGCATTTGACTGCTAACCAAAAGATCAGTGGTTCAAACTCACCAGCCATTCCGCAGAAGGAAGATGGGGCAATCTACTTCCATAAAGATTTACAGCCTTGGAAACCCAATGGGGGTCGCTATGAGTTGGAATCTGCTTGATGTCAGTGACTTTGGTTCCTTAGGTTTTAGTGTTTAATGCCACCACTGATCTGTCAGTTTGTCATACTTTGGTGACTTGTGTGTTGCTGTGATACTGGAAGCTATGCTCTCAGAGCTCTGGTAGCACAGTGCCTAAGGCACTTGACTGCTAACCAAAAGGATGGCGGTTCAAACCTACCAGCCACTCCTCGGAAAGAAGATGGGGCAATCTACCTCTGTAGTGATACCACCTTGGAAAACCAAGGAGGGGTCACTATGAATCGGGTCCAACTTGACAGCACATAACAACAACAAACAACATTCTCCCGGTATTTAAAGTACATGCAGGGTCACCCATGGTGGATAGGTTTCAGCAGAGCTTCCAGACTAAGACAAACTAGAAAGAAGGCTGTGGTCATGTCCACTTCTGAAAAAACTGGCCACTGAAAACGTTATGAATAGGAGGGAACATTGTCTGACATAGTGTTGGAAAATGAGCACCACCGGTTGGAAAGCATTCAAAATATGACTGGGGAAGAGCTGCCTCCTCAAAGTAGAGTGGACCTTAATGATGCAGATGGAGAAAAGCTTTCTGGAGCTTCATTTGCTGATGTGGCTCAACTCAAAATGTGAAGAAACAGCTGCAAACATTTATTAATAACTGGAATGTGAAATGTATGAAATATGAATGTAGGAAAATTGGAATTTGTAAAAAATGAAACAGAATACATAAAGATCGATATCCTAGGCATTAGTCAGCTGAAATGGACTGGTTTTGGCAATCTTGAATCAGACAATCATATGTTCTATTATGCCGGGAATGACAAATTGAAGAGGAATGGCATCACATTCAACATCTAAAAAGAACTAAATCAAGATCTATCTATCCGATTTCAAGATCTATCTATAGTACTGTCAGTGATAGGTTAATACCTATAAGCCTACAAGGAAGACCAGTTAATACTACTATTATTCAAATTTGTGTACCAAACACTAAAGTGAAAAATGAAGAAATTGATTTTTATCAACTTGTGCAATTTGAAATTAAGCAAACATGCAATCAATTGTTGGTGATTGGAATGTAAAAGTTGAAAATGAAGAAACATCAGTAGTTGGAAAATAGGCTTTGGGGATAGAAATGACACTAGTGACTACACAATAGAATTTTGCAAGACCAACACCTTATTCATTGCAAATAACTTTTTTTAAAACAACATAAACAGAAACTATACACATGGACCCTTCCAGATGGAATACACAGGAAGCAGATGGACTACATCTGTGGAAAGAGACTATGGAGAAGCTCAATATCACCGGTAAGAACAAGGGCAGGATCTGACTGTGGAAAAGACCATCATTTACTCTATGCAAGTTCAAGTTGAAGCTGGAAAAAATTAAAACAAGTCCATGACAGCCAAAATATGACCTTGAGTATATCCCACCTGAATTTAGAGACCATGTGAAGAATAGATTTGACTTATTGAACACTAATGACTGAAGACCAAATGAGTTGTGGGATGACATCAAGTCCATCATACATGAAGAATGCAAAAGGTCATTTAAAAGATAGAAAAAGAAGAAAAGACCAAAACAGATGTCAGAAGAGACTCTGAAATGTGCTCTTGAACATATAATAGCTAAAGTGAATGGAAGAAAGGTTGAAGTAAAAGAGCTGAACAGAAGATTTCAAAGGGCAGTTTGAGAAGACAAAGTAAGGTATTATAATGAAATGTACAAAGACCTGGAGTTAGAAAATCAAAAGGGAAGAACACGCTCGGCATTTCTCAACCTGAAAGAACTGAAGGAACAATTCAAACTTTGAGTTGCAATATTGAAGGATTCTATGGGCAAAATATTCAACAATGCAGGAAGCATCAAAAGAAGATGGAAGGAATACAGAGTTACTGTGCTAAAAATAATTGGTTGATGTTCACACATTTTAGGAGGTAGCATATGGTCAAGAACCAATGTTACCGAAGGAAGAAATCCAAGCTGTCCTGAAGGAACTGGTGAAAAACAAAGCTCCAGGAATTGATGGAATACCCATTGAGATGTTTTAACAAACAAATGCAATGCTGGAAGCGTTTACTTGTTTATGCCAAGAAAACTGGAAGACAACTACCTGGCCAACTGACTGGAAAAGATGCATATTTGTACCCATTCCAAAGAAAAGTGATCCCACAGAATGTGGAAATTATCAAACATCATTAATATCACACGTAAGTAAAATCAACCAACTAACTAGAAGAGATCCATTATTTGTGTCTATTCTAAAGAAAGGTGATGCAATGAAAGGGAGCTATCTTTGCGGTGTGTAACGATATCATTAATATCACACACAAGTAACATTTTGCTGAAGATAATTAAAAAATGGTTGCAGCAGTACATCAACAGGGAACTGTCAGAAATTCAAGCTGCCTTCAGAACAGGAAGTTGAATGGGAATATCATTGCTGAGGTCTGATGGATCTTGGCTGAAAGCAAGAATACCATAAAGGTGTTTACCTGTGACAATGCAAAGGCATTCAACTATATCATAACAAATTATGGATAACATTGTGAAGAATGGGAATTTCAGAACACTTCATTGTGCTTATGAGGAAACTGTAGGTAGACGAAGAGGGAGTCATTTGACCAGAACAAGGGGATAGTGCATGGTTTAAAATCAGGAAGGGAGTGCATCAGAGTTGTATGCTTTCGCCATACTTACTCAATTTGTATGCTGAGCAAATAATCCCAGAAGCTAGATTATGTGAAGAAAAGCACAGCATTAGGATTGGAGGAAGACTCATTAACAACCTGGGATATGCAGATGACACAACCTTGCTTGCTGAAAGTGAAGAAGACTTGAAGCACTTATTGATGAAGGTCAAAGATTACAGCCTTAAGTATGGATTGCACGTCAACATGAAACAAAAAATGGAGAAAAGATAGAAGTTGTCAAGGATGTCATTTTACTTGGATCCACAATTAACATCAAAGGAAGCAGCAATCAAGAAATCAAACGACATATTGCATTGGGCAAATCTGCTGCAAAAGACCTCATGTAAAGTGTTAATGAAAAGTGTCAAAGAGCTAAAAT